GAGGCAGCTGATCGATGTCTCTCTCTCTCATCGATGTTTCTAACTTTCTATCTCTCTCCCTTCCTCTCTGTAAAAAATCAATAAAATATATTAAACAAAAAAAAAGATTCCCAGGTGATTCTAACGTGCAGCCAAGGTTGAGAACCACTGGCCTAAATGGAAGCATAGTCCTAAAGCTGTGGCAGGTGGTTTACTTCCAGATTTGCTCCACAGGTATTCTGAGCGGAGCCTCACAAAGTGTATTGGAATCACTATTGAGACCAGACCTGATTATTGCATGAAGCGGCATTTAAGTGACATGCTGACCTATGGCTGTACAAGGCTGGAGATTGGGGTGCAGAGTGTCTACGAAGATGTCGCCAGAGATACCAACAGGTGAGATGACGGCAGATGCTCTTGCACAAGCCTTCCTCTTCTCCCACCAGTTATATCCATGTTCTCTTCTTCCTACCACTCTTAAAGAAAGAGGTGTAGGCATTCCTCCTTTTAGACTCATTCTTCTATCTCTGCTCTACCCCTTTCCTTGACTTTCAGTCTTTGTCTGCAGACTTTTTCCAGCTGCCTATACACATGCTTAGTAGATCTCTTCTTCGTCTTGTCATACACAGCCTTCCCAAAAGGTTAGCAGAAGTTAGGGCTCAAGGTCAGTAGTTAAAGCAAGAGAGAAAACAAAGGAGAATGGGAACAAAGAAAAGAGTTTGAACAGAAATGAAGTCAGGGTGAGTTTTAAGAGAGATGAGTGTTTGTGAAGCAGATGCCAGTTGACAGGGTAGTGGGAGAAAGGTTGGTGAGGTAATGGGTATAAACATTGAGAAATTTGGGGGTGTAAGGAAGGAAAGAAAAACAGGTTGAGAGAGCCATGTGAGGTTCTCGTCCTTCTAGAACAGTATCACTGAGTTGAGGGGAAAAGGTACAGATGAAAGGTTAGCTGTAGAAGGAACTTTGTGATTAATTGGTAAATTAGTAAAAAAAGATTTCAGGAGTTTATTAATCAGCATTGATCACTGACCTAGGGTGGTGAAGGCAGGCTTGAGGGAGTAGGTTTGTGTTGATTTGGATCTTAAAGGCTACTTGAATTCGATTTGTGTAGACGTGATTGGGGGCTGTACTAGGAGAGGGAAGTGAAGGGGAACTAGGGAGACATTCATGGTCAGCATCTTAGAGTCAACCCAGAAGGATGCCAGGCTAAGGAGGGTGGGTCTTTCTGTTAGGTAATAGAGGTCTGTTGAGTCTTTTTGAGCACAGGGAAGACTCTGATGGGTATCAGGCCTGAGAAGATTAACCTAAATAGAATGCATTCTTGTAGGGGAAGACTAGCCAGGAGCACTGGCTGGACTGCTGCAGGAATGGAGAGCTGTGCTAGAGAGGAACCTGTGGAGATGAAAAGTTTATTAAAAATTAGGGAAGCTTTCTGAAAAAAAGACATTTAATCTGATATCTTACTTGAAGAGTATGACTTAGATGTGGAAGAGAAAAATTATTTTAGGCAGAAAGAAAAATATGAGCAAACTGCTGAGGATGGGAGCACATGACACATTTAGGGAATTCAGAGTGGTTTAGTTTGGTTAGAGGTGTAGAGTGTGAGGTAGGAAAGCAGTAAGAGGTGAGACTGAAAAGGTAGCCAGAGGGGCCAAATTCTGAGGAGCCTTTGAAGTCTGGGCTGTAACCCAAGGACAGGTTGTAAGGTAAGTTGTGACACAATCATATCTGCATTTTAGAAATATTACTTTATGGGGAGCACAGTATGGGGATGGATTAAGAGGAAGTTAGAAGGAAGACCAGTTAACAGGCTGTTGCAATAATTTAAGCAAGAAATGATGCCCTGAAAAGTGAATGACAGTGTTTGGTGACTGAGTGGAATGAGGGTAAGAGAGACTGGGGAGAAGAGGAGGCTTGGAGGAAAGATGAGTTTCATTTTACATACACTGAGTTTTAAATATTTGTGGAACATCCAGTTGAAGCTTGTTTTAGAGCAAGGCTGTGCAACAGAACATTTTGCAATGATCGAAATGTGATTTACCAGCACTCTCCAATATGATAGTGCAACTGTGGAACGGAATTCATTTTAATTTAAGTATAGACTTGAATAACCACATGTCCCGAATGAACTGCAGTGTTGCACAGTGCAGCTTTATAGAGTATTGGCTGTCCTGGTGTGGGTTCAGGAGAGAGGTCCAGCCTAATCACATACATTGGGAGGTTATTGGCAAAAAGAGGTGAGAAGTGGAAGCCATGGACATGGAAGAGACCATCAGCGCGTATGACGGAGCCCCTGGTCTCCAGGATTGCTTGGTGGTGAATGGGAACGTTTTGGTGGTGAAAGGATTGGCACAGGCTTCAGTCTTTGGTTGCTCCAGACTCTTAGTAGAGCTTGCTTCCTACTTGCCTAGGGCACTAGAATGGTAAGATGATTGATCCACCTGGCCCAAGTGATTCTGCCTCGTCACTAAATTATTATGTCTTCTCACTTTTTAAAGGACCCTCCAACCCAGCAGAGTGAAATATGTTTGTATTTAGGTATGTGTGTGTCTCCTCTCTTCCTCTCTCTCATTTCAAAAGATTTCAAAAGGAAAAGAAATAGTAGGATGCTGCTTCTGCGTGGTTTTGAGCTCATTAATCTGGTTTCTAAGTTAGATATTTACATTGGTAAGCTTATTTTGCCTTTGTTGCTAAACCAAATAATTTTACTGTCAGAACCTTTATTGGCTGCATAGGGAATTTCTGAGAAATATCCCAAAAGTAAAAATGAGGCCCTGGCCTCATTTCAGTTGATTGGAGTGTTGTCCCACCATGCCAAGGTTGTGGGTTCCATCCCCAATCACGGCACATAAAAGCACCAACCAGTGAGTGCATAAATAAGTGGAACAACAAATCAATGTTTCTCTCCCTCACTCCTTCCCTCCCCTCCTCCCCATCACTCCCTCTTTTCATCCCTTCCTCTCTTTAAATTCAATTTTTTTAAAAATCTGAAAAATAAGTAGAAACGATTTACTTCCAGACTTTCTCAGAGGTGGAGATTAAAAATGACTGTCTGAGATATTCCCCTCCTCCCCCAACTATATTATTCTTCATTACATATACCAGAGATTGTTTTTCCTCTGCTCTTTGTGTTAACCTTGTTGCCCATTTATTTGTGTAACGTGGATTTTCTCTCCTCAGGGGCCACACCGTGAAGGCGGTATGTGAGTCATTCCACCTGGCCAAAGATTCAGGTTTCAAAGTGGTGGCTCATATGATGCCTGATCTGCCAAACGTGGGACTGGAGAGAGACATCGATCAGTTTATAGTAAGTGTCACCTTACGCCCGGCCAGTTTAGAAGGCCTCCGCGCGACTCTCTATCCTCTCTGCTCTTTTTTATTATTGACTGATGATTATTTTTCCCATAAAAAGACAGTGCATTCCCATTCTAGAGTAGTGGGAACACAGTAGAAAAAGAGGGGTCACTCACAGCCCAACCCCAAGTAAAGCCCTAACATTTTCATTTATTCCCTTTTAGGATTTTGTTAGACTTCAAGTTTTTGGGGGGATGAGATGGTTTATACATGTATGCACACAGGCACAGTTATATATATGATAAATAATTCTTTTAATAGCTTTTCCACTTGACACTATAACAGGCATTTATCCTGTTATAGCTTGGTCTCTGTTAAAATGCTTATACTGAAATATCTGCTTAATTTCCAGTGAGTAAATATGCCATACTTTGCTTAATTACTTCCAAATTTTTAAAAATTGAAGATAATACCAGTTTTTGATAGTGTAAATAATACTTCAAGTAAACAATTTTATGCCTATAACTTTGTGTAATATTTAGGATAATTTCTTTTTTAGAAAAAGTACGTTTCTGTTGATTTTGAGAGAGAGAGGGAGGGAGGAAGGGGAGTGGGAGAAGGAAGAGAGAGATAGAAGCATCAATGTGATATGAGAGCAGAACATCCATCGGCTGCCTCCTACTCACCCCCTCATGGGGACCGAGCCTGCAACCTCAGCATGGACCCTTACCAGGAATCAAACTAGTGACCTCTTGGTTCATGGGTCGACACTCAGTCACTGAGCCACACGGCTGGGCAGCATTATTTCTTTAGGACAAATTTCCTGGGGTAGAATTATCAGGTGAAAGTATTAATACTTTAAGAATATCATCATATTTTTTATTTGCTTTTCAGAGGGTTGTAACAATTTACACTCATTTCAGCAGGGTTATCTTTTCCCCCAAACGGTTGTCTCCTGTTTATGTATTTTCTATATGTATATGTACATATAATATTTTTATATTTGCTAACCTGATGGATAAAAGTGCTATTTCAACTTGCATTTTATAATAGTAGTAATATATTTTTCAAATTTATATCTAATAATTATACTTCATCTTTTTGGAATTGTTTTTGTCCTCTGACTCTATTGGATATGAATATTTTTAATATTAATTTAGGTGAACACCCAGGTAAGGACATTATGGACTTACTGTTTTTTATATTTTTTACAAATATTTTCCCCACCCTATCTTTGGCCTTTCACTTTTGCTCCTGTTTTCAGATCTTTTTCTTGCTTGATGATTCCTTTAGACACTTCTAAGGTTAGAACTGCCATACTCTTTTAGAATTTCATTAATCAGTGAAAGAAAATACTGTTTTCTTATACTTTTCTGTTATTTGAATTTTAATACCTAGTTCTGGGATTTGGTTGTGTGTTTTTTTGTTTTGTTTTTTCCTTTTTACTCTATCGTATGTTAACTTAATCCATGTTAGCTTTGCTTTGGGAAACGAGATTGGTCAAAACTTTTCTTCAGACCGATAGACAGAGAATGTCTTAGGGATAACCTTTTAGAGAAGATGATGAAAATATTTACCAAGTTATTTCATCCGCAGAAATACTTTTTTAAAAAAAATATATTTTATTGACTTTTTACAGAGAGGAAGGGAGAGGGATAGAGAGTTAGAAACATTGATCTGTTGCCTCCTGCACACTCCCCACTGGGGATGTGCCTACAACCAAGGTACATGCCCTTGACCGGAATCGAACCTGGGACCCTTCAGTCCACAGACCGACACTGAGCCAAACCGATTAGGGCCGCAGAAATACTTTTATTTTGCTCTGTTTATAAAAGATAGAATTTACCATGCCTTATTTGTGAAGTTAATAATGCTTTCCTTTTAAAAAGTTTATTATTTTTAAGTCAGTGAATTACAACTGAAAGGCTATTTATAAGACAGCATTAATTCACAGATGTCACTGTTACTGATTCCCCCTTATTGGCTGTGTAATAGATTTTGAAGCTGATACCCCCTCAGTAGTTAATAGCCAGGAACTCAGACTCCAAACCTAAAAGGCACCTGAAACACACTTTTCTTTAACACAGTTCCTAGGTGGGCAAGTGGGATAGCCTGCATTCATAATTTTACGTGCCTTTGGAAAAAATGTGTCATGTTTCAAATAATTGCGAATATCTGAGTCTTGGTGTTCATTTTCTTAGTGTCTTCAAAATATAGTAGTTCCCCCTTAGCCATGGGGGATACCTTCCAAGACCGCAGATAGCACTGGACCCTATATATGCTATGGTTTTTCCTACACATACATACCCATGATAAAGTTTAATTTATTCATTAGGCACAGTAAGAGATTAACAATCCTATATAATAAAAGTCTAATATGCAAATCGACGGAACAGCAGAACAACTGGTCACTATGACGTGGACTGACCACCAGGGGGCAGACGCTCGTCGCAGGAGCTGCCCCCAGCATGTAGGCCTCAGGCCAGCCAAGGCAGGTGCCAATGGGGTCCTCCACGTCCCCAATCGCCCTGCCAGTCGCCCCTCAGAAGGAGGCAACCAGCAGTGGTGGCGGGAGGACGGGGCTGGCGAGTGTGTGGTGCCAGGCTAGCCAAGGCAGGTGCCAGCGGGAGTCCCCCGGTTGCCCCACAGATCAGCCCTGATTGCTGGCCAGGCCCAGGGACCCTGCTCATACACAAATTTCGTGCACCGGGCCTCTAGTAACTAATAATACAATAGAACAACTATAGCAATATGCTGTAATAAAAGTCATGTGAATGTAGTCACTCATTTTTTAATACTCACCTGAGGACATGTTTTTCATTGATTCTAGAAAGAGGAAGGGAGAGGGGGAGAAACATCAATGTGAAAGGAAACATTGATTGGTTGCCTCACATATGTGCCCTGATAGGGGATCAAACCAAAGACCCTTTGGTGCATGGGACAATGCCCTAACCAACCGAGCCACACCGTGGCTGTAGTCACTCATTTTAAGGGATCCCTTGCTGGAGTCTTTGTGTACCCCCAATGCTTTCTTGCACTGCATATTGCTATCATTCTGTTTATATCTCCTGCCCTCAGATTTCTCTGTACCTTCGAAGCACTTCTGCAATGTGGACCCAACTTTTGCAGTATGAGGTGCAACAACAAAACCAGCATAAATTTTTTTTCTTTTTTCACAATTTCACAAATAGGTCTCAGCAACCTCAGAATATGATTATTTTTCTTTCTTTATTAAGTAGAGAACTTTTATCTTTCCATATTAAAGAAGCACTTTACGGCTTCTTGGCACATCCTAATTGCCAGCATCACTACTCTTGCACTTTGGGTCCATTATTAAGTAAAATAAGGGTTACTTGAATACAAGCACTGCAATACCTGGCAGTTGATCTGATAACTGCAATAGCCAATAAGTGACGAATGGGAGTGCATTGTATACAGTGGACATGCTGGACAAAGGATGAGTCATGTCTTGGCGAGAGATGGCATCACACTACTCAGAACAGCAAGCAGTTTAAAACTTATGAATTGTTTATTGAATTGTTTTGTGGAATTTTCCATTTAATATTTTCAGACCATTAAAATTTCAGACCGTGGGTAAGTAAAAGGGAAGCCACAGATAAGGGGGGCAACTACTGTAAAGAATAGTTTAATAATAACATTGCAAAGACAGTCCTTCATGTAAATAGATTTATCTGCTTGTTTTTAATCTTGAGAGTAATTTATAAATTGCCTTAAAAGAAATAATTTCTACAAATCAATTAGAAAAAACAAATAGCCCAGTAGGAGAATGCGCAGAAAAACTTGAACAGATACTTCACAGATAGGAAGTTCAAATAACCAACAAATTTATGTTTATTAAAAACCACAATATTGTTCGTAATCTTATATTCCTTATTCCTGAATCCTATTATGTATATAATTTGTTTTTTTTTCCATACAGATATTTTAGGAAGTTCTCTTTATCCCATATGTAGTGCAATTACATAGAGGTATATTTTGGCAAGAGTTTTAAAATTGTGTTCGATATTAAGGGACCCTGTCATTGGGAAATTTCTTTGTACTATAGTGGTCCCATGGTATTCTGGGGGATTGGTTCAGGGAACCCCTCTAGATAATGAAATCTGCAGGTTCTCAAGTTCCTTATGTAAATGGTGTGGTATTTGTATATAACATGCACATATCCTCCCACATTCTTTAAATCATCTATAGATTACTCATAATACCTAACTATTTCATAGTAAATGCTATGAAAATAGTTGTTATATTTTTATACTTTAAATCATCTCTAGATTACTCATAATACCTAACAATGTAAATGCTATGAAAATAGTTGTTATATTTTTATTGTTTAGGGAATAATGACAAGAAAAAAAGTCTGTACGTGTTCGATGCAGATGCAACCATTGTAGGCCTAACAATACAGTACCTGTCAGTAACAACATAACATTTTTTTCTGAATATTTTAAATCTGTAAATGCCGAATCCTCGGATACAAGAGCCGACTGTACAGGATAATGTTCCCCCTTTCATTTTTTTATGTTCTTTTTCTAAAACCTACTAAGAAATGTTGGATTTCCCAGACTGATCATATAAAATTCTTTTCTAGTTTTATCTGCCTTTTTTTCTGCTTTCTTATTTTCTCACCTTTATCTTTCAGCCTTTCTATTAAATGATTTTTGTTATAGTTTTCATTTCTAAGACTTCTTTCTTTTATGCTGGCTGTTTGATTTCTCTAGTATCTTGTCCTTGTTTTAGAGATTAATAAGTCTTTTCTTATCTCTCTGATGGAATTATTATAGTTGTTTTCTTTATGTTTTATTTTCCTTTATGCCTTGCTTTCCCCTCAATTCCTTTTTCTCTCTTTGTTTTGGTCTGCTTTTTATGTTCTAGGCTTCTAATTTCTAATGATCCTTAGCCAAATGGTCATACTTTGAAAGTGAGAGGCTTAACAACCAGATTGCAAGCTCTATGTAGCTGCCAGTATGCCTCACTGAAGGATGTTCATGTAATGTGCTCTCCTTTCTTTAGGGAATTTCCAAATGTCAGTGTATGGAGCTCTTATTTGGAGCCATTTAATTGATCCAGAGATAACTCTCCAGCTTCCTCCTTGGGAGTGGGTGTTGTGCGCACATCACAGAAAATTGCAGCAGGGAGTCCACCAGTCAGTGTGCTGGCCTTCACTTAATCTCCCTGTTTCACTCTGGGTCCTCACTCAGGCCTTCCTTTGTACCTGGAATCTCAGAGTCCAGAGGCTTTCCAGTATCTCCAGCGAAAATCAGGCAACTGCCTGTAGGAAGGTGATAAGGGATAAGGAAAGGGATAAACCCCTTCATGTGCAGATTTTGATCAAGTGTTCTCTCCCACCTGCCCAGTTCCTGGTACTTGTGATCCATGAACCTTTCTGGGACGCGGGTGTGACTGAGCTGGCCTTTCATTAGTATCTGTCCCACTTTACAGATACTTTATTTGCAGTTTGCGTCACGGGCAAAGTCATTTACCAATCTTCCATCCATTTTCCGTCTTTCAAAAACGTATTGCCATCACCTGTTCCCCTCCCGTCTCCTTTGATTTATACTTTAAAAAATTGTATTATTTCCTGTTATTTTAGCATGGTTTTGGAAGGCCTTGGCTGGTCTTCCAGACCTTGGTTGGTTGTAGCATCATCCTGCACACCAAAAAGTGGCGGGTTTGATTCCCGGTTAGGACACATACCCAGGATATAGGTTCGATCCCGGTTGGGGCGTGTGCAGAGGCAACCGATAGATGTTTTTCTCTCTCTCTCTCTCTCTCT